TGCCTGTGATTGGATGATGGAAAAACTGTGGTGAGCCTGAAATTTGCTGATGAATTAGTTCCTCTGCACCTGCAAATCATGAGCTGTTTTAATGGAGAACTTTGCAAAAGGTCAATGGTTTGCGCTTTATTTTATTTTTTTCAATTGATCAAAGGGAACCATTTTTGAATCCATTAAAAGGGACCAAAGAATTTCTCTTCAGAATTCCTGTAAAACTCCTTTTTGCAGTAGGTTCACACACCCATGTTACATAATACATGATTTGACAACCTGTAAAATGTAATGTCATAGAAGCCCTCAGTAAAATTCACATCCCTTTAATGTAGGTTCTTATTGGATGGGAACAAATGTTGACTAATATTCACTATTTTGCTAATAAAAATGCTGTTGAAATAACGGCATCCTGAAATATGATTTTCAAGTTTTGTTTCACTTTTTGTGCAAATAGTCCATTCCATAACTTTTTTTTTTAAATCGCAACCTTCACCCTCATATGCACACAAAAACCACAATTGAGAAAGGTTTTGCTTTAAATAGAGGTTTTTGAAGTGTATGAGATGTCCATAAATCAATATACCCCCACAGGATATGCTGTAAGAGCTCTTGCTTCACACAGCGTTGTTAAAAGCATGGAAGCACACTGCACTCTTGTGGTGATGACAGGACAAGGCAGAAACGTGTTTCCCATTGGCAGCTGTGTGTCATGTGTAACAGGCAGGCAAATTATTTGAATGAATTTAGGTTACGCTTTAGGACTGATGGGAAACGGTGCAAAGATTTATTTATTTACAGATAAAAATCTGTATAAAGCAGGGTTAGTTTAGTTAACTAAAACCATGAGTTAATTACTTGGAAATAATGTTTCGGGGGAAAAAAACATAATTGAACTGAATTTCAATTTCAAGGGGGGGGAACAAACAAAAAAAACCTAATTTAATTGAATTGCCGAGGCAACATTTCTTAACCCTTGTGCGGTCTTCGTTTACTTTTGACCGAAAAATTTTACATTTTGAAATTCTAAAAATCGTAGCTTCATCGGAATGGTACGAAACTGGGTGATTTTTATGGCACTTGGTATGTGAACACACACAAAAAAATTGAGGGCATGATTTGAAAAAGCTAAGTGCTCGTAAAAAAAAATGGTCACAATCATGGTCTTCGGTCAAAAATGACCGACCATAGGAAATGAGTGGGAAAAGGCCAAAGAATTGAAAATACAGAAAATTTTTGTGTACAATCTACAAATCCCCCACGATGCAGGAAAAACAATTGCACAGCAAGGAACGGGTGAAACTAAAATATCTAGAGTGCAAAACAGACACATCCACTCACACAGACACACACAATTATACACACTCAAATTAATTGGTATGGCTACACTGTAAATTATTTCCAGGATTTCACAAGATGTTACTGTAATATTTCACAGTAAATGACATTATCACTTCACAGGCTTTAACTGTGATATTTCACAGTATAATAACGTATTCAGAATTTCACTGTGAAAATACTGCAGGCGGGGCAGTTACAGGAAACTACTGTGAATTTGCGCGCGATTTTTCATCCGAGCTCTCTCGTCTCCGCCGAGGTCTCATCGACGGATTCAGCAGTAAGTGTTAAAATGTCAGTGAAAAATGAAGTGCGCATGTCAGTATTCGAATGAAGCTATGGTTTGGGGGGAAAACGTTACTCCTTTTGATCGTTTTTGTTTCTGGAATAGAACCGCATGAATGGGATATATAACGTAACAGAAAAACTCAGGTTGTCAACCTTAAAATGCACGGTGTGTGAAGCACAACTACAAATCACTGCAAGTCCTTTGGACTGTCTAGTTATAACCAACGTTAACGTAATTGCAAAACACAGATGAGTGCAGTTTGGTCTAACAACGGGGTAACTGACGCGCAGTACATTTGGCAGAGGAACTTTCTATTCCAGAAACAAAGACGATCAAAAGGAGTAACGTTTCCCCAAAAAATATTGCATGCAGTTATGCAGTAAGTTAGTCATTAAATATGTTCTTATAGTGTCTCTTCGTTCAATGGAGAGAAGCAAAATAAATGTGTAAGAATAAATGTTCACAACAATTTATTGTGTTTTTGTGTTTATTTGAATTTAACATGTTATAGGTTATTAATGGGTTAACACATGAAAATGTCAAATTTACAGTGTTCTAAAATAGGTTTTAAGTGTACATTAATAGCACATTACTGGCAAGTAATTTGCATTACAGCAGAATACTGTTAAATTGCAGTAATCTGATTAGATTAACTGTAATTTTACAGATAAATACAGTAGTTCTACAGGCGCATACTGCTAAATCACAGTAAACTGATATACATCAACTGTAACTTCACAGATAAATACAGTAGTTCTACAGGCGCATACTGCTAAATCACAGTAAACTGATATACATCAACTGTAACTTCACAGATAAATACAGTAGTTCTACAGGCGCATACTGCTAAATCACAGTAAACTGATATACATCAACTGTAACTTCACAGATAAATACAGTAGTTCTACAGGCGCATACTGCTAAATCACAGTAAACTGATATACATCAACTGTAACTTCACAGATAAATACAGTAGTTCTACAGGCGCATACTGCTAAATCACAGTAATACGATGGAATCTTACACAGTAAGTTACTGTGAAAGTAATGTAGCTCCTTCACAGTAATTTACTGTAAATTTACATACAGTAATTTACTGTGAAAGTAATGCAACTAGTAGCCAGTAATTTACTGTGAATTTACGGTCAAATAATTTACAGTGTATAACCATATAGCCAAAATGATTCAGAAAACTGAAATAAGAGGTTGAAATAAGATCAGACCCAAAGATTAAGCTTTGATAAAGCATTCCTGTGTAGTTTTGTTACATTTTTATAGAATTGTAATGTTTTGTATAACAAAATGCTTTCTGTGTTCAGGTTTGACTGTAGTAATAATTCTATACACACACACACACACACACACACACACACACGAGTAATTCTCACCTTGTTCCTAATTTATATAATGGATGACTTCCCGTTTGAAAAGCCAGCTTAAATTGTATTAAATTAAATTCTTTGCACTAAATCTAGATTCACGTTTTGTGACACACCCTCCAATAAAGTGTAAAACCACACAGTACCGATCTCCAGCCTTCACCCAACTGACTTACAGCATTAGATCATCCACATGTCCATGTGGCCCATGCAGACTGTATTTTAGGGTAAGATTGGGATTTAAATGCAAGTGATTTGACTAATCTCTCAGCCTCCCGGGGAGATCAAACGGACGGCTAATAAAGTGGAAGGTAAGAGGAAAGAGGAAGAACCTGATCAAAAGAGTCAATACTTTACTACACCGGACCTCCAATATCCTGATCAGACAGGATCAGCAGCTCTGTTTGATCAACCACATAACATATGACGCCTCTTCTCTTAGGAAATGACTGATCATTTAAAAGGCCTGTGAGACATTACAGATGACGGACTATTTGAGTAACTTTAATCCACTCTGTACTTTGTAGATGGCAAATGGGTGTAATTATTTTTTTTGCGTATTGCATGTGCCAAGGCACAATAGCTTTTAGGATCGATTAGACATTACAGATGACGGACTATTTGAGCAACTTTAATCCACTCTACTTTGTAGATGGCAAATGGGTGTAATTATTTTTTTTGCGTATTGCATGTGCCAAGGCACAATAGCTTTTAGGATCGATTTATATTGCTGAATAACAAGTTGCCTTGTGTGGTAGTAATATCATTTAATGGATTCCAACTAATGATGTAAATTGAAAATGTACATTTTTATTGTAACTCTTATATACTGGCTGTAAAATATGTGCCCATAAAACTGCTATAAATAAGTCTAGCAATAAATATAGACCTTTTTATGGTTGGAAACAGTTGTGTAATCCTAATCCAGACAATATTGAACTGAACACATTATCCACTTTAATCTGCATATAATTTGCATGATCTAATTAGGCCTATAATAAATGGTCCTACATCTCATTTATCTGATTTATTTATCTATTTAATAACCATGATTATGCATCATGCTAACACAAACTATGCTGAATTTGGGAGCTGAATATATGAAATTCATGGGATCGTGGGTTTAAAATAATTTAATTCCTTACTATAAATCTCTTTATTACATAAACTTACAGTAAACCCCCTCAGTCCCCTTAATATTGAATGAAACGTCCTTGCATTGCAAAGCTGTACATGTATTAAAAAATGATTTTAAATTATTATACTTAATTTATGCAGATTTCGTATAAATAACCGCAAATAAAGTAGTGTTTTTATAGAAAATGTGAAGATGTTGTAAATCATACTAGCCTACCAACATAATCGTTTAATTTATTAATGTAGAGTCACTCAACACATTTTGTTAAAAACATAGAAGAATAGACTTAGTTTTATGTTTTAATGGAAACTTGCTGGTTTTACCAAAAAATAATTAAGTTATAACGTAGAAAAGCTCATAAAGGATCAACATGCTATTTTTTTTCTTATGAATCCAGATATATCTGTCTTGAATTAAATCTTGGATTCGACTCGATCGATTCCATGAACTTGGAAATAAAAAATCTTGCAGTCGAACATGATATATATATATTTTTTAAAGTCACACATACACTCTTAAAAATGCTGGGTTGTTTCAACCCAACTTTGGGTCAAATATGGACAAACCCAACTTTTGGGTTAAAAATGTTATTTAAAATTTTAACCCAACAGCTGGGTTAGTCCATATTTGACCCAAAGTTGGGTTGAAACAACCCAGCATTTTTAAGAGTGTAGGATCAAATTATACTTTGCACGTTTTTCTTATAAATCTATGTATTTGTCTTGAATCAAAACTCGGATTCGACTCGATCGATTCCATAAACTTGGGAATCGAAAACACCATAACTTCTGTTTGAGCCAGCTCTCATCGCGCACATTCCTTCCCTTTTCGTCCAAGGCTCACTTTTACGTGAATCCCGTTCTGAGGAATGCACGCTCGTTTTGCACTAGCATTCCTGCCTCCTCCTAGACATCACATCCGGGTCACTCGGCAGTCAGCGTGTAAGCGAGCGTGCTCCTCCATACAGTTGCGTACTGCTGCTGCAGCTCTCAGCGCAACTCCACTGTATGCAACATGGACACTACGAGCAGCGGCCAGCCGCGGAGGATCTGAGCGCGCCTCGGGACTCGCGATACGCCACACCGGGGCAGGGATGAGGTGCCATCCAGCAGCCGAACACTGGTAGGCGAGTCGTCAATTGTCAGCGATGTCAAAGAGTCTGAAGAAGAAGAACCACTGGACGAACAAAGTCCACGAAGCGGTGCTCACCAGGAATAAGGAGGGCGAGCTGGGGTTCGACTTGAAAGGGGGCGCCGAGAACGGCAATTTCCCTTATTTTGGGGAGGTGAAGCAGGGTAAGGTTGCCATCCAGAGCGGCAAGCTGTCCCAGGACGAGCTGCTCTTGGAGGTCAACGATACACCGGTGGCGGGGCTCACCATCAGGGATGTGCTGGCCGTGATCAAGCACTGCAAAGACCCGTTCCGGCTGAAGTGCGTAAAGCAAGGTGAGGATAAACATCAGCGCGCCGCTGTCTCTCCGTGTGAACGAGAGAGAGAGAGAGCGACCCCTCCGCTGTCTGGGGCTGCTGTCTGCACATTATTCCCGCAGAAATCCTGTTTACACACAAAGGTGCATTTCAGATCCCGCGCGTGATCGCTGTGGTTATCGATTGAAGCCGCCGCGAGCGTTCCATCGTCGCTCCCGGTAACAGAACTTACAAAATGTGGCACAGAATCATGTCAATGAAATTTGAGCTTTGTTTGGATTCTAAGGACGGTGGTATCATGCGCGAGGGGGCGGGGGGTGTTCCGCCCCGTGTCGGAGATATTTTGGCCCGCGGGTCCGCCATGGGCGAACTGGGCGAATATTTGAAGGCAATTTCATTGATCTCGTAAATTGCACGGTGGCTGTGGCAAGCCGTGTTAACATTGACTACGTTTACATGGACATCAGTGATCTAATTATTTACCTTATTCTAAATAAGACAATATTATGATTAAGGTGTTTACATTAGTTGCTTTTAGAATATTCCTTTCATGTTCCCGTTTTATATGTTATAGTACATAAATCAATTATTGGCACACGTCATTACGTCCCCACGCGGCGCCATCCAACGTTCCCTCCAGAATTTAATGTATAAACATACTGTATAGTTCATCTTCATTATGATGTCATACAGTGGTGTAGTCTAGTAGTTTTTTGTAGTGGGTATACTCTGATATTCCCTCCCAGCCTCATACTCACCGTCCCACAGCGACACCCCATAAGCTCCACACTCACTAATTCATACAATATGCTTCTATGTAACTGAGAGCATTCTGAAAGACTGCTTATGTGATATCAACATGTCAATTTATTATAAGCAACCGAAAACTTTAACAGCCAATGACATTTACAGCTGGGTAGACTGGACTGATTTCTTACTGTTTAGTGTTAATCATTTAACTCAGCCAGTTACATTAGAATAAGAAAAAGAATATGACCATAAGAATATGGTACCTGGAGAATAGGTTTTATCAGCTGGCAATTTTCAATGCACATTTAAGAGTGCCTGTTTTTAAATTCCCTAGCCTGACTTTCAGTCCACAAGGTTGGTCAGGAGTTCTCATCTATCTCATCATCTGAAACAATGAGATATAAACATTGTATTCGGTTTAACTGCTGTAGACACATACACAGTATGTGTGTTATCTCTCCCTTTCTCTCGCATTCACTGATCCACCACACTAATGTTACTTAAGTTATTAGCTATGTTGCCTTGAGAAAGCCAACATTCTGTTATACTATTTAAACTTATTATTCTTCTTCTGAGACCAATAATTTTCAACTGTACTGTATATCCTTCTAGGGCTTTAATGCTACAGGCACCAAACTCGTCAGAGACATTGGACCTGATCTGTAGTTTGTTTCTATATCTTTTCTAACTGATGAGACTTAAAGTTTTCTATAAATAATTATCAAAAATCAAAGATTTCCCATAGACTTGCATTGGCTGAGCAAAAATGCCCTCTCTAGAGGACAACTGCAGTCCACTAGAGGGTGCCACAGGATAAGAAATCTTTCAACTCCCTTCATTTACTTTCGTTTTCAGACAGTTAAATGTACAAATATTTGCATACTTTTCCTTTATGCCGCCAAGCAAAGCTAACACATTTGATCATGACCATGTCAGGTAGTGACTATCTGATGTCCAGAGGCCAGTGTGAAAGACGTTCGGTACAGTTGACTGATCTGTCACTGCTCGCTGAAACAGCAGCAGCTTCAGGGGCAGGCTTACGAAAACACCGAAAGAGTGCAGTTTGAGTTTGCTTTCGTTTCATATATCATTTAGTGATTTACATTAAGAGTGATTTACAGCAAGAGTTGCGCAATAGCACTGGTCATCAACAGAAACACATTTTCAAAAAGTAGGTGCTTTGCAACACGGACGGGGTGAATTTATGAATGAACGTGTGAAAGTTCTGTTATAAAACGATGTTGTTGCGTATCCTCGTGCTTTTTTAAGTGGGTATATGGAAATCCTTTACATTTCCTAGTGGGTATACGGCGTATACCTGCGTATCACGTAGACTACACCACTGATGCCATATACAGTTTTGGGTGTTTCATTTTTTATTTTTTTTACAAAAGCTTCAAGTGCAGTTAATCATTTGTCATGCTATACGTGCAAACAGATGGCAGTGTTGTTGAAGCCATGCTCTTTTGTTTGCCATCAAACGGTTGACCACTGCCATGTGCGTATCCTGTCGCAAAATGCGGCGAAAAGTCCTACACAACGGTAATAGTGTGATTAAGGTGTTTACATGTCTATACTGCACTTTGATAATGCGACTAAAATAGGAATACTCCACGTCTTAATTCGATTTGTGTTTACTTCGAGTATGACTTTAGCCGGATTAAGGTAATCAAAAATCTCTGTTTACATGGTAGATTCTTAATCAGAGTATTGTCTTAATCGTGTTAAAATCGGAATATCGTTGTCCATGTAAATGTACTGATTGATTCCTTAGCACTAGTAGCTATTGTTACTAGTATTTATAATAATAATATACATTAGCAGCACTTTACTAGTACTTGGTCTAGTAAATGACTAGTAAGTAATCCAGTGTTTACTAGAATCATTTCAATTTCAGTAGAAACTATTCATTAGATACTATTCCAGTAATGGCTCATATTTGTTCAGTTAGTTACTAATATTTACACATTCTAGTACTTTTGCTAACAGCCACAATCACTACAGTGGCAATTAACTAGTCCACTGTCACTAATCCTTAGCACTAACTAGTAGACATTAAGTTGCTTGTACTTATATTTGTAGTAGACTGTACATTAGCAGTATTTTACTAATGCTGATTTTTTTAAATGACTAATAAGTAATCCAGTGTTTACTAGTATCACAAGGCATTCTAGTACAATTTTTTTTTGCTACTAGTCACTATCACTATAGTGACAATTAACTAGTCCACTGTCACTAATCCTTAGCACTAACTAGTAGACATTAAGTTACTAGTACTTATATTAGTAGTAAACATTAGCAGTATTTTACTAATGCCAATTTTTTTTAATGACTAGTAAGTAAGCCAGTGTTTACTAGTATCACAAGACATTCTACTGTAGAACTTATTCTTTTGCTACTAGTCGCTATCACTCTAGTGACAATTAACTAGTCCATTTTCACTGGTAACATTTTTCACATTTTTGCTGAGCTGTAGTTCGGATATCAAATATTCACTTCTAACTAGTATGTACTCAATTTGTTGCTGAAACCTATTCTAGTTTTACTAGTAACTATTAATTTGGTACTAGAGCTAATTTTTCTTATTAAATCAAGTACTAGTACTGATGTATTCAAGTTTTCCTAGGAATATTCAGGGATATTATTGTTAATTAAAACATTTTTTGTTAATTGAAACAAAGCTGAAATTAGAATAAGATATAAATATTCAATGAAAAACATAAACTAAACAAAAATTACAAATGTTACCTAACTGAAACTAACTGAAATAAGTTTTAAGTTTAAAGAATCAAAGATTATTAACTGGAAATTACTAAAACTAAAACTGAAGTAAAAATAAATTAATAAAATTACATTTTAATACAATTAAAATAAATTAATAAAAAAGCACTTAATAAAATTACTAAAATTTAAACTAAAATGAAAAATCAAAATAAAATCTAATTCAAAATATAAATATAAAATAATACTACTATAAGACTTGTAGCAATTGAATATTGACATTAGGATGTATTCTGGTTGTTACTAGTAACATTTTACAATCAGATTTTCATTAAACTGATAGTCATTCTGCCTGGCCATTACATGTGACAAGCAAAAAACAACTGTAACTAGTAAGATTAGAAATGTTACTAATAACAATAGAGATAAAGAACAGTGTCTCTAGTACTAGTAAAGCTATACAGTATACTAAGTAACAACTAGAATATTGGAAAAGATGCAAGTGATTATTGGAATACATACCAGTAGTGTTCAGGAATGAATGTTAAAATGGCTTGCCATAAGGTGGCAGCTCTTAAAAACAATGGATTTCAGTGGTGAAGAGGAGATGGGAAGTGCCCATGTGAATGTGAGGAGTGATGTTATCTCTCACACAGATGTTGACTTACTGTGATGGGATTCGAGGACGCGCAGCTGTCTTCAGGTCTACAGTGCTGAGTTTTCAACAATGCTTATAGTATACAGTGGTGTGAAAAAGTGTTGGCCCCCTTCCTGATTTCTTATTTTTTTGCATGTTTGTCACACTTTAATGTTTCAGATCATCAAACAAATTTAAATATTAGTCAAAGATAACACAAGTAAACACAACATGCAGTTTTTAAATGAAGGTTTTTATTATTAAGGGGGCCAACACTTTTTCACACCACTATAGTTGCAGTGTTTTTTTGGCCTTGTTTGAAGCAAACTTCCCGGGCCAGCGCTTTGGACAACATCCCCAACTCCCAAGTGAAAGCAAAAAATATCTTGATGCACGCAATGGTTGTGTCTAGGTGTCTAGAGTAAATATTGACTGGCTGCTGAAGATCAGGGTTTTGGGAACTTGTCCGACAGGCGTCTTATAGTGTAAAATGGTGTAGGAACACAGAGACTAGTGTAATAAATTCATTTTAATGATTGAAAGAGTAGGACATTTGAATTCAAGGATGGACTGCCATTAGAAACACATTGATTTTTTTCATGGTAAGCCCATCGACTTGTGGGTTGGTTGTTGAAACCTATGTAATATTACATTGTAAATCTCCATATTTGGGATTTATACCCGACTCGTTACAATTTCATTACAAAATTCCCTTGTTTTCTATCGAAAACACCCTATTCGATTGATGCTTTTTCTAACAGTTGTGTAATTTGATTGTGCTACTAATGCAAAAACAGGTATTCAAAGAGATGCTTGACCCCCCCAAAAATAGTTGTCATCATACAAATTATGGATTGGTGAGTAAATTATGTTTTTCCAAACCTGGAACACAAAAGAAGATATTTTAAAG